CAGACAGACAGCCGGGCAGAGAGAGAGAGAGACAGACAGACAGCCGGGCAGAGAGAGAGAGGCAGACAGACAGACAGACAGACAGCGGGGCAGAGAGACAGAGAGAGAGGCAGACAGACAGACAGACAGCGGGGCAGAGAGACAGAGAGAGAGGCAGACAGACAGACAGACAGCCGGGCAGAGAGACAGACAGCCAGGCAGAGAGAGAGAGGCAGACAGACAGCCGGGCAGAGAGAGAGAGGCAGACAGACAGCCGGGCAGAGAGACAGACAGCCAGGCAGAGAAATAGAGTGATAGACAGCCAGACACAAGCATGGGGAGACAAGAGAGCTGGGAACTCCTGCTCACCCGGACCGCAGTGCAGTGATGATGCAGTCAGCGCAGAAGCGGTGTAGACACTCCTTAGTGGTCATGGTGTTCTTCAGCATGTCCAGGCAGATGGGGCACATGAGCTCGCTGTGCAGGCTGCGGGGCGACACAGCGATCTCCAATCCATCTGTGATGGCCTCCTACCAAAGGGGGTGCCACAGGTCATCGAATGACACCCCTGTCTGCACCCACCATATCACACACCCTATTCAGGATCAGTCCTTAACGTTATGCTAACGACCAATCCATAACGCTGCACTAATTGCTTAGGAGGTACAATCTGATCAACAATATATTAAAAGTTTACAAGCCTATTCAACTCGGCATTGACTGAAGCGAAATTCCACGCAACAAACTTCCCTTCCCTTAATTTTAAGAGCATGCTTTTGTGTTATGCTCACGCACAGTAGACATGCATTTCGGAAGCCGTCTTGACGTTGGGGGTCTTACCTGCGGGGTCCTCTGCAGCTCGTAGAGGCTGAGTTCCCACGTCTTACTCAGGGGCTGCACCCCGTTCGCTTGCACGGTCTGGGTCATGCTTTCGAACTGCAAAGAGGTCACGTGTGTTTACGTGAGAAACATTCTTTGCAAATTATATAAGTATTTCGAGAATCAAAACTGTAGCAGAAGGGAATCCGCGGGTTGACGGCGGTGAAAAAACTTTCAAATATCTGTAATTATAAACGCGCTTCTGCTTGCCGGGACATACTGTGTCCACCCGTTTCTGGACATAAACAAAAACACGTTATTGCTATATCATTGTCATTTCAACTGCTGCTCAGCGCCAGGCGCCCATACTCCTACATAAACATGCCAGCACCGTCCACCCCTAACATATGTTTTTCGCAAATGCAAATATGGAAATCCTGTTATAACGATGCTTATGTGCGAATCTTTTGCTATCTGAACACTTTGCCTTCGTATTCCCGTCGTCTTTGTGTGCCTGGGATCGGCGATACATCTGTACAAGGCATAGCGTTGCAAAAAAAAAAAAAAAGAGAAAGGAAAAAAATAATGTATTCAAGCTTTCTCTTTCAAACGTCAATTTCCCATCCGACAATGCGATTTCTTTCACCAAACGAGGGAACACAGATCCAACTAACCTTAGTTTAAATTCTGTGCTGTCATCTATTGAAAAGAAAAACAATAATTTATATAGCGATGGTGGACGAACGTACAAGGGTATATCGCGGCTCCATAAATAAAAGCGCAGTCGCCGTCTGAACGCAGCTAAAAAGAAACAATCACCCACTAATAGAAATGGAGACCCGTTTGGTGAGCCATGCACCGAACTTAGACCCAAAAACGGCGATAAAAAGCAGATGGGGGCCGCGTACTTACATTTTGAGCGGCGCCGACACGCTGCAGCGCACCTCTCTCAGGGCTCAATATGGCGATCGGCGGCTACGCAATGGAGTTCGGGAAACGCGGGGAGATGCATATTCATTACCCTCCGCAAGCCAGCGCTTTCAACAAGACCGTTTTGTTTTTAAACGACCCAAGTGAAATGCGGGCGGTTTTCTTGTAGTTTGTCTAGATTTTCATGCAAACATATAGACTACTTTTTGAAAATAATATAAATTAGTTTTTTTATTAAAAAATAATGACTAGTAAAACAATTTAAGAAATTATTTCATAAATTTATCATAGGTAAAAGTAATAATAAAAATTTAATATCATTATAAAATTTTTATAATAAAAATAATAATAAAGAAATCCAGGATTTAACAAACATGGTGGTATAATAAGTATACGTCTAATGTGGCCTTAAATTTTTGTAAGATGCCTTCTTTGGAAAATTGCACGTCATTAACCATAATTCCCAACCTTTCCAAAAGTGTAATAAAATTTTAGTTTTATTCCAGTTTTGCCACAAGGCACAGTAGGCTGTTCTTCACGGGTAGTTCGGAAGTTATGCTGCTGTTTTAGTGTATCTAGTCCATCAAATACCAGAAGATTTTATCAGGACTATAAGATATTTTCACGAAGCATGTGTAGACATCGATGGGCTGACGATCGGCGGTTGGGAATGAAAGTGCGCAAACAAGCGCTTCATCCGTCTCACCCGGGACTGCCGCACCCCACCTCCTCCCCATCATTTAGTGACAGGCGGTGGGTCGGAGGATTTCAGTGAGACGCCCTCACCAAAAGAAACACTTGATACGAGAAAACCAGCAAGTAAGAGTGTTTCCCCCGAACCGACTTTGCACTATGGGAGTATCCTCCTCCAGTCTCCTGGATGAAAATAAAACCAACTATATCCGAGGTAATTCTCTTTTCGTACTGTGAATAATAAGTAAACGTTCACAAGACACGCTACTGTGTCGTTCTTGATTAACACAAGCAATTCAGTTACTGAAACAATTAATTGGATGGTATAGCTGTATTATTTGCAAAATCGTTTATATTGTTTTTGTTATCGGTAGTTAAAAAATATAATCAGGTTCTTGCAAACTTTTTCGTTTTGTTAATCTTGAATCAGAATTAGTCCACAGAACCGCTTTTAACGAATATAGAATGTGCCGTTTTCTTTTGAATTATTGCAATGTCAGTCTGTAATCCGTCCTGAAATGAATGCCAAGGTTTCATTTCTGCTATATATGGAACTGAAAGACCCATCACTTCGCATTGCTGAACTGGTATTTCAGTATTATTTCTCAATAAAATATTTCACCAAACAAAACCCCATTAACTCTTTTAATGCTCAACTTTTTATAGTCTAACTATAGGCTATGGCAGATTTTCCGTGAAGTTATTAACACGTCCAAAATCATGCGCGTATCGGATGCCTCACATTTAGTTAAGTTCGGATGCAATACGAGTCAGGGCGAAACAGAAATGGGGTGCGGGATAATACAAATGGAGGTGAATCTATAAGGAGACCGAAAATGATTACACCGTCCTTTAAAACTCTTCACAACCTCGAGCAGGTTTGCTCTAAGCCGAAGTTATTTCATTTTAATTAGTTACAGAAAATGGAACGATATCATCGCCTCAGTATGGAGTCCTTCAGATGTAAGCCATGTAATTTTAATGGCATGATCTCATCGTAGTCGTTAAAATACAGATCAGGTTCATTCAGAAATGCATATAGTATCATTTAAAACAAACAATCTTTTAATAATTCATTATGGTGCTTATGAAAAATAAGGGGATTCGCAATGGAAGTGTGCAACATTAAAAAAGACATATTGTAGTTCTGGAATAATTCATTTTTAGAGAAATGTAAATATACACGACATGCAATTGTAAGATAAAAATGTAATTCTTGGATTCTAGGATTATAGATATTCTTCAATTGCTGTTCAATTATCGCCACGCCAAGCTGTAATTAGGCTTAATTGCCTTTTATTTAGTAACACCTGTTCTTGGTGTTTCTGCACCACCTCAGAGATACAATGAAGGTTAGTCAGAGTTTGACAGTGACTCGGTAATGAACATGCATGCATTGCCAGCTGGGATTGTCTGTGAGGTGGGAATGTGTAACTCCCAGGGAAGTGTGCATGAGTAATTCATTTTTAAAAAGGCACGTCACGCCCACGGAGTATTGCACACACATCTCACTTTGTTTGGGGAGCAAAACCCGACGTCAGATGAGTGACACGTTCAGGAGTGGAGCTAAAAATGAAGGATTTCCGCCATGGTCCGCTGAATTGGTGCCTTGTGATTTCGGCGTCGCAGGCTTCCTGGGCTAGTCTGTTTAGCTCCACTGGGGTATGACATATTTAAACTGTGCCATCTAAAGTATACACTGAGTATACTGAGCACTCCTTGTGAAATTCCAAAACGTAGGTCTAAATGAGCATCTAAAGCCACAGATGACACCTACTCGTGAGGGCGTATCCAGAGGAAAAAGAAAGTTATAAGGAACAACCTGTTATTGTTAGAGTTGGCAGATAGCATGCCTGAGTCCGCTTGGGGTTTGCTTTAAATGTGTCTAAAGCCAAATGGAAAATTTAAAGAGTCATCCAGAATCCTTCTATTAAAAGTATTACATTTACTCAGATTCACACTGGAACGTTGGAAAACGGCTCGATCAGGTTTTAACGCATTGCAGACGTTCGCTACAAACTGCACGTGCATCGTGGCCCGCTAGCTAATAAATGTGCTCTTAATTAAAACGGCATAGTGGATGTTTCCCCTGTTGCATGATGTCATGTATTTTATTGGTTACGTAAGAAGGGGTATTTGGCCAAGGCTTCTCTTTAGGGGCCGTTATCTTCGTCTATTTACATCTACAGTATGTAAGGGCTTGGGGGAGGCTGTAATGTGGGTATTGTGATAATTTTGTCAATCGCTATGGTTTAGATAGGCTACTAAAGCAATCCAAGATAACAATGACAAATAGTGAACCACCATTTAAAAAAAAAAAGTTTGTGACGAGTGTGCATTTTAAAACATACGTAAATGCTACATGCAGTCAACAGCTAAGGCAAACAAATACGCGACTCGCTTTTGGAAGGGGCTTCCATCAGCATACAGAATTACCTGGATTAGCAGCTGCGCGTGACTGTTTAGGCCCAAAAAGCCACAATGCAAATTGCTGGCCTCGCTAACGTCTCTTAGAGCAAATTCTTCAAACAATCACATTTTCCTGGCACTTTGTTTCGGGGACAATCCTGTACCTCACTTCCATGGAAACATTTTTTTTCTTCTTGACAAGGGCTTCGCAGAAGATTTTGGGTGAAGCTGCTTTTATTGTGAAGCATTCATATTTTACTGGAACCTTCAGTTGGTCTTGGATTGTTTTTTTTTTGTTTAGTTATACTTAAATAGACTGGTTTGTTACACAGACCAGAGTTAGCAGACCTGCCAAGTCTCACATTTTGCAGGAGTCTCATGCATTTGGATATCACTGTCCCACACTCATGCAAGTTTTCTCATGCATCCACAATCAAATGCAAGTTTGCAAACAACAATAGCATACAATTACGACATGCAACTAGTAAATGCTTTGCTGACTTGTAATAAAAAAAATAATGCTTTAGAATTATGTATTTTTTGTCTTCGGTCATTTAATTGGCTGAAAGAATGGCCTGAAATCAACCAATTTGAAAGAAATCCTCAGCACTAGGGAATATTTGGAAATTTCAGAAGCCCCAGTATGGCAACCCCCCAAAAAGCCAATTCTCCAGCAAGATTTAGCCAGCACCCCAGCAAACTGGCACAGCACCCTTGGCGGGCCTGAGTTACACAGTTAATAGGAGCCCTGGGCATTTACACTGTGCTCTGTGATGTACACAAGCTATTACACTGTGGCACAAGCTTTTTAACAGTCAGATTATCACATGTCATAGTTGTCACAGTGATTCTCACTGCAGCCTTACAGTTCGTTAGCAACCTTCACTGTGTTCTTAATATGAACCAAATATACAGAACAACACATATTAACAGCTGTATTTACTCTCTGTTGCAGTTAAGTATGAAACCACTTGCATATTTAACCTGTTTATCTTAGGGATTGCCACTGCTATTGCTTATATTCAGGACAAAAAAGGTTCCAAAGAGATTAAGAATGAAAACCTTATAGAACAAAGTCCACTTCCTGGAAAAAAAGCTGAAGGTTTAGTCTTTGAAAAGAGAAAATTCCTTCCGAGCTAATTATTTTGAGTTTTGGTAACTGTAAACATACAATGATAGTCCTCATGCAGGGATAAAATTACTGGCAAGAAACCACTTTTAAGTGAAAAGGCAATCGGACCTAAGAATTCCCTTGTGCTGAGAGCTGAGATTCTTGTTGGATGCATATTTGGCACGGTGAACAGGACTGATTCCCCATGAGCCTATCACGGTATGGGTGTAACAGATAGGCCGTCCAACAGAATGTCATCATGTCTTGGACCTCAGCATAATCAGATAAACAGGCAAACCACTGGATTAACAGTTTAACTACATGGATAAAAATGTGGCTTTATTCACATCGTTAGCAGTTCTTTAAGACAGGCTAGTATACATGAAAAAAGATTTCAATGATATTCGGTTTGTTTTTACTGTATCTGTTGAAAATGATGTCACTGAGGTATCAGCGTTGCATTGTTGCTAGAAGCTGAAATAATACATAATTTCTTCACCTTTTTGGTTTTTGAATGTCTGGTTTGTCAAATCTGCTTCCTCAAGGATCCCCAGACAGTCTGCATTTTTGTTCCACTCCAGCTCCCAACAAACCTGTACCACGTGTTCTTAACTGGTCATTCTTGATTGTTTGGTTCAGGTATACTGGGAAGGAGCAAAGATATGGCCTGTCTGGGGGTCCCCATGGACTGAGCTGAGAAGCACTGGCTTAAAGAATGAATTCCCATTTTGTCATTTTTTTGTTGTTGATCACATTCTGGAGATGCCTATGCAGCGTTCCACAGTGATGCTGTACTTTGTGTAACCTTCTCCTAGTGGCCCTCTGGATCCCCTAAGTGAAGACGTCAGTCGATTTCAAAATAACATTCCTCTCTCCAAAGGACACTGAATGTGGTCCGGCGAAACTGTATACGAATTACCATATTAAAAGTACATATCATATCCAGGATCCTAATCAAATTAAATTTATCAAATGCGCAACAGTACAGCCTACAGCAGTAGATGCAGGAAATGTAATGAGTTTCCCTGAGAGCTTCCTATAGATGTAAAACGTAAGGGGAAGGATAAATGAAAGATAAATTAAAATAATAAAGTAAGGGGAAAAAATAGAAATGTGTAAAAACTGCAAAGTGGTCATATTAATAACCTGATCAGCCTTACTGCCTGTGAGCAGGAGCTGAGTTGACTGGGGCAGCGTGTGGCTCAGTGGGCTAAGCCTGTGTACCTGTGATCACAAGGTTGCCGGTTCAAACCCAGCCTCAGCATGTCTGTGGCTCCTTGAGCAAGACCCTTAACCCCCAGCTTCCTGGGCACCCCAATAGGTGGCTGCCTTTCACAAACAACTTACTCTACAAAGAGCAAGTTGAGGGAGGCATAAAAAAACAATTTCCCCACAGGGATCAATAAAGTATCAATTATTATTAATCCTAGCATAGCTACATTTATGAAAATGACAGCTAAAAAGACACTAGATATGATCGATATTGGTAACATAGATGTAGCCCATTGGCAATGTGTGTAACGTGTGTAACAAAAAACTGATATGATGCATCAGTGGCAGTGCATGTAGTGATCAGTGGCAGTGCATGTTGTGATCAGTGGCAGTGCATGTAGTGATCAGTGGCAGTGCATGTAGTGATCAGTGGCAGTGCATGTAGT